TTTTGACATTAAAATATGTTTTAAGCAATAAAAACGAAATAATGATAATGGGAGATATAAATACAGATTGGCTGCAACTTAAGAGACATATGCAGATCTCTAGTAGAGAGACAACCTTTATGTTGCTTAAATTACAGAGAGTAAAAGAAATGATACATAAGATCGACCTGGAAAAAAAAACATCATGTGTGGGAAATTCACACATGATATACAAGTAGTTGCCACCTGGTTAATGAAAAGCAGATTAGACATCAAACTTGATTGGGTTCACTAATCATTAGAGTGATGGGTTAATTTACATCCTCCCCGCATCCTGTTAATGCAAAAGATGTGATGTGTTAACATCCTTAATATATTGTCATTTACATCTATAAATCTTACACTTGGCTCCTCTATAAATCCTACATTTGTGGCGATATCAGGCAGAGAATATATATCAACCAAGTGGCTAATAGATAAACATTTCCTGTAGCATATGGTCGCTGAAGTTTAAATCAAGATTAAATCAGTCAGTTAATTGAAAGCATAATGTGGTAATATAATACAGATATTTTATTTATTCATTTTCCTGCAAGTTAATTCTAGCACCTATTCATTGATATCACTTACCATCTGCAGCTATAGGCAGCCCCTCGACATTTAACGGCACCCTTTCAAAAGAGAAGAGATGCACTTAAAAATTCACCAGCGATCGAGTCGGTTAACTTACTGCCTTATCAGTGTCGAGTAGATACAGCGAGTAGGGAAGTCTAAACTCCAATATTTTTTGTGCCGATAACACTCTTTTGTTTGGATGGCGATTACGCAGGAAAAAAAAAAAAAAGAGTAATCTTTAACGTTTATATTACAACCCAAAGATAGACAAGACAAAGACAGAAAATTTACATATGTTGCAACTATCCTCCAGATAGTTATTTTAAGCTTCTGCATGACTTCCTAATATCCTGCAGTCTTTCAAGTACCTTTGTTTAACTAACAAAAAAAGACTCATATCAGAGCTTTAAGAACATGGAATACCAATAAATGTTAAGCTGGAAGCCAGTGGATGGGACTCATTGAACCACATGTGCAGAGTTAAAGGCATACTGTGAGGCACTCAAGGGGCAAGGTCACCAACTGTAGTTTTTGCCTGAAATAAAAATCACTTTAGGCTCCTAAGGAAAGCCAGATGCTTTGATTTCAAGCACAGATGTTATGCACAAGAATATGGGGGCAATAACATTTAAAGCCCTGTTTTCTTTTCAGACAAACCCAACAGTGCCCACAGAAAACTTGTGCTTCTAATTAGTCAACCCCACACTACTGCTCCCCCATAGAGACTCTGAGATAAAGAGAGAGGCAAAATATCAGGAGGAGGACACTATCATCAATTTAGCTCTCATCGTTAAAAACAATCCACCTAAGTTGGAATAAATAAAAAATAGATATGTTTATCGGCACATTTACCCTGAAAAGTACATTGGTGAGGAGTTTGGAAGCAAAGAGGGGAAATCAAAAGGGTGCCTGACTCCTCATGCATTGGAGATGAGTCTCGCATGGAGAAGATTCCAAGTTTGGCAGATGTTAAGAGCCACAAAATGGCTCATTACTGGGACAGAAAAAGGCACAAGATAAAGCAACAGTCTCCGTGGAGGCTTAAAACAGAATGACAAAGGTCGACACAGTTGAAGACGACAGAAAAATCTAACATTTCACTTTGCATTAAACTTATATTCTGAGAGAATAACTGATAAGATGGAGAGGTTCAAAATGAAAACATTCCTTCATTTTTTTCCAGCCTGCTCTTGTTTTAGATAATGGGAGGTTGATGGTAAGAGAGGGTTTTCTTTTGAGGCTTATAAAGGGTTAAGGTATAGTGGAGAATTTTCGTGAATTTTAAAAAGACCCACCCTCTCCATTTAAAAATAAATGCACATGCACAACCCTGCACCCGCTCAGGAAAGGGAACGCCTATTAAATGTGTGCGAGAGCATGCACCAGCCCATATCTCCTCATGCAAGCTCTGTTTAAAAGTTGCTGTTTTCATCGATCATAAAAGCTTACTTTCCAAAAGAAGATTTGCAAATTTTCAACTTTGTCAGACTCCCCACCGGTAAGTAAAAATGCGAGCACGTAGGATGGCCTTACGTAAACATATCACAAGAATGATTGACAGCTAGGAGGACGACTTATTTTGATGATCCAACCGGAAAATGAAAATCTTGCACTATACCTTTAACTTCATTGCGCAGACATGACGCCAAGCGACACAAAAACAAGCTAGAATAATTCAAGTGGAAATGCAAAAGAAGGGTGCATAAAGTTATAAAGATTTAGAGAATTCAAGAAAAATACATATTTAATTAAAATCCAAGCATTATTCCTCCTGCGACTGATATCAGAAAAGCTGTTTTCCTCTTTCTGACAGGAGGCACACACAAACACACCAATGTCTGCTCGGGAGGCTGCCGGTATTATCACAAAGCTCTAACCAAAGCTCGGGGAAAAAAACCTACTCTCTACCCCCCCTAACCTCCAGTTCCGCTGCACGGTGCGCCTCTCGCTGTGGAAACAAACTACTGTAGCCAAGGTTATCGAATGGGGGCGAGTCGATAATGTTGTATCACAAAAACTGTTTTCAGCTACAGCAAACATGTGGGACAGTTGGGGACGAGTCAGTGCATCGTTCTCCCGCTTCATGGAAAAATTAAGACCTGCAAATACCTGCACCAATTAAAGGCATCACTTCAATGAACATCAATCTATTCATCACCTCCTCAAAGCAGAGAGCAGAGGGTTTTATGGGAATATCAATAGTTTATGCTTTTGGAACAAAAGGACGCAGCAAATCAAAGGCACAGACAGATTTGGATTGAAAAACAGATGTTTGTTTTGTTTGATTTAGCTAACAGCATGTTTCACATCCCACATCCCTCTGCTGGATTTTGAAAAGCAGTCCATTGATTTAAATCTATGCAGAAGTCAAGAGAAATGCATCAAGTGTGGCAACAGCATTGACTAAGAACAAGCCGTTGAAAGATGCAGCAATTTAAAGTTAAAAGATGGATAAAAATATTTGGAAACACCTGATTGATTATCTGACATTCCTAGACGTGAACCTCCGTCTGCTGAAGTTGTTGCTTTAGCTTTGGTCTGAAAAAAAATAAAATAACACTGCTTCCTTAGGAGCTTTAAGGCAACAATTACAAAACGAACCCCCAATGAGCAATCAGAAACATTCAAATCAACCACCAACAGGACGTCTTAAATGAACCTTTTACATAACTACAGTCATATATTTTCCTGTTAGAAAATAAAAATCTTTCTAAAAGATGTTAAAAAGTTTAACCAAAATAACTTGCTTAAATTGAAAACTTTTTAATGATCAATTTTACAACTTAAGACCTTTAAATAAAAGGACCTCAGGCCTTTATTTTTCAGATGAAACGGGCAACTCTAGTATGTATGTGCGTAGGTTGCTGAACTTTAACGCCTTCTTTCAGTATAAAGTCATAATAACTTTTGATATAAAGTTCAAAAAAAAAAACACTTTTTAAGACAAATAATGGAGGCTTTGACTTTTATTCTAAATAAATCTTACAAGCAGACACTTAAGACATCAGACTGGATATGTAATTTAATACATTGTACAGAAATTTTAGCCTAAAGCCAGGATTTATGATTTTATTTATTAAATACTTTGGCAGTTTAATGCCCGGGAGCAACAACACATTATGCATTGCACCTCATTGTCAATTTATTTTAACAATAAGGGTACAATTTCTATTCTGAATTACAGATACACCACTTCTTCACTAGCAGGTCAAATATTGATATTTTGTTCTTTCAAAGCATGAAAACAAATCCTTTGCACCATTTTTCATCTTAAAACCAAAAGCATGCGCTCTGCTTGAATAAAAAAATCTGATAAATGAAGGAGACATGAGCTGTTTAGCATAAAGTCAAAAGGCCCTGAAGCTGTAGTTTATTTTATTTTGGCTTTATAACCCTAATCAGAGAACCTGCAGCAAAAAAACAATCTGCAGGTAAGACTTTGAAAGAAAATTCCTGATCAGTATCAGCCTGGTCGGTGCACCTCTAGTCTGGGTCCTTATATCTGAACAAGAATGATTTATCATTTTATATAAGAACAGCCCATTTTAAGAGCCTTTTAATCTTGGTTACTTACAGTTTTCCTTTTTAGTTGGGGTGAATTTCATATATACTCCTAAAACTAACAATATAATCAAGTTTTTTTTCTCGACAATTGATGGCTATGAGATAATCAAGATGAAATATATATGATCAAATGTAAAGATTTTTATCAATTAAGCTGCATGTTTTATTATCTAGTAGACTGAGTGTATTTAATAATTGCCAGGCTTAATTATTAGAAAGGGTTTGATGAAGTGTGTAGTTCTGTATATATGTAGCATTACAAAAAAAATGGAATTCATTTGCTATTTCCGTTTTTATCATAAGGTTTCTTAATTGTTTTTGCAAACAAAAGATTGCGAAAGTGTTGAGGGGGGAAAAAACAGGTCTATCAGGTTAAAGCAGTCCGTTTAAAGTAGTCCCTAACGGAACATTTATTTTTTTCCTTGTCATCGCCCTTTTATATTCATTTTTTAATGCAGATACCACACTGAATAAAATAAGATGCACCAATAACACATTTCTATTGATAGTGCGTTACTTTCTGGTACAAATGGGTTTACTGTGCGCGTGCGAATCTGTATTTTTAAACAACTTTGTATAAATCTGAAAAAAGTAAAAATAAAAAAGGTTGCACTTTCTAAAATAAATGAGGCGGGCGGTTTAGAGCCTTTTATGTTTGGAATTAATGATCTTTAAAGTCCCAGCACTGACGCTCAGTCTCACAGAGAAACACAAAGGAGTTTGCCTTTGAGAAACTAAGGGGAGTCTAAGAGCAGAAATTCAACATAATCCAGCTAACGTGTGATTCAGCTGAATAGAAAAGATAAAACAATGAAAGAAACCTGCCCGACTTCAGCACTCACCTGATGGAGAAGTAGTTAGTTCAATGGTCAGAGCTCAGCTGGTATCATGTCGTTTAAAGTTGCGCCTACTTTCGAGCCGAGAGAAAGGTGCTTTAAATTAAACAAAATAATAATAATCTCAGCCAGTCTTTATCTCTTCACCGAAAAGCCGCTTCTCCTGAGCTCGACGACTCCACACGGACTTCCAGTTTCCAGCTCCGTTACACACATCTAGCCGAAGAGCTAGCCTGCTAGCTGCTGCTGGCATAAACACTTGGCTTTGTGGGGGCTCTTAACTCTTCATTTTCCGGAGCTTTTTTCGCCCCCCCGACTGGACCGAAAGGTCTCTCTCTTCACAGGGGACGGAAGCGGACGTGTCGTATATGTACGCCCATTTCTGCCTGCTTATCAATAGTCCGCTCTATGGTCCCACAGTTCGCTTCTTTTTTCCCCCCTTCTCTCAGATAGCTGCTCACTCCCCCTCAACACACCACAATGGGTTCTGTGCCGACTCTTTTCAACACAAGCCTCTTTATGCGTTACGACGTCCGACGTCCCTTTGCGACAGTGGTTGCTTAGCGACGGGTTTGAATCTATTTTTCTCGAGCCCCTCAGTGCATCATTTGTTCTGTTTCTCTCTTTAAGAAGCATTTTATTGAAAACTGAAACATCAAATGAAATTAACCTCTATTTGGGTTTTAAACTTATTAAGTAATTTGCTCTTAAAAAGCAAAAATTAAGAACAAAATGTGCTTTTAAGAACCTAGACTGGTCATCCAAATATGTTGAATTCTGTACAAAATTATTTATTATTTCTGAAAATAAAGGGGTGAAAAATACCCCCTCACACAAACTTTTATAAAGACAGTCACTAAGGAAATAACATAGGGCCTGTATATGGAAAATTAAGCAACAATCATTCATCTTTATAACGTGTTGAACTGATCATGGCTTCCTACTATGTTTTTTTTTTCTTTAACCTCCTGACCTGAATAACTAAATAAAAACAACAGGTCATAAACGAATACGAAGAAATTAAAATTAGTTTTTATTTTCTCTGTATGTCTAAAATAAAACAATTAAAATCTATTTATATCTATACAAATACACTGTTTTTTTTTTCCATTACTTGCATTAATTATTTTATTCATAGTTCTTGATTTTGAAAAGGAAAATGCGATACCCAAACTCACTTGATCTTTTAAATATATTTGTGACTTATGTTGCTTGTATGTATTATCTTAGCAAAAGCCTTTAACGCGTTTATTATGAAGGAGCAGTGCGCAGGATTCTGGTGGCTGTATTAGTTTGTCTACTTCGCCCTCTGCTGGAGAAAAAAAAACATAAACAAAACCCTTTTCTCACAGTTGGAAGCGCTTTAAAATGCTTAGATTGCAAATAGAAACCACACTGTCTAAAATATTCATACATAATGCAAAAAAATAATAAAAAATGCTAGAAATTAAAAAGAATACGAAAGGAAATACAAATACCACAAACAAAGAATCATTAGTGAAATTAATTGCACTTTTAAATCAAAGTTAAATACAAATGTGGGGGCAAATTTACCATAATATAAAGTTATTCTGCATAATTAGATTAGTTAAAAATACAAGTGATACGTTCAAGCAGGTTAAAAAAATACTAAATATGCAAGGACATTTTAGGACAATCAGCACTTAGCAGCTTCATTGTTATACCTCGAAATGAAATAAGAATTTACGAGTTTCCTGAAAGGCATCACGGACGCACTTGATGCGGATGTTGCAGCGGCTTCTTAGAAGAGAAGAGTTTGACTTTAAAAGTGTGAAGATGTCCAAAACTATTAAGGAACGACAAGATAACTCTGCACTGTTTGTTCTGTCTGCAGTGGCTTTAGCCTTGATTACAATTCTTACCGTTTGGAGGTTAAAACAATTTAAATACAGAGTGATAAATGAAACTGGGGGTGCAATGTTTTACGGTAAGTAACCTCAGGGAAACTGCTGCACAAACACTTCCTGGACTTCATTTGCAATCAGTATATGCCATGTTTTAACAGGAAATAGTTTGGATGTTACAGATGCATCTTAATTAAGTAGAAAATAATAATAATGCACGAACATTTAAAGGGTGCATAGATTTAGTGCAAATAGAGTTATTGTCTGTATACCGTTTTGTTTCAAGTGATTATAGCTTAAAGTAAGCAAGATTTATACAACTCTTCTTAGAAAATGTAAATTTTGATTAAGATTTTTAATAGATATTAAGATGTGTTTTGCTGTGATCATGTTATGGTCTATAATCATTGAGAAGACCCCCCCACAGACAGGGTTTTTTACAAATTAATCAACAGCATATTTTTATGTTGAGGTTGTTGTTTTAATCCTTCCCACAATACATCTTTTAATTTCGGTCAATATGATGTAATTCTGATAGTGAAATCGAGTCTCAGTAAAACTACTTAAAAATCCCACAATAAATTACTTTAAAAAATAAGAATATTATTTTGAGATGTTTAGAAAACCCTCTAATATAACATTGTGATAGTATTGGCTTAAAAAAAAAAAAAATACACACATAACAACAATATAAAAGCTGGAAAGTCAGTCAGTGACAAATGCTGTGATCAATATATATTAAAATATGTGAAAAGTCTTATCAGAGTCATTGCATAAAATCATATTATGATACCTTTATATATTAATGCTGGGTTATTAAATTAAATAATTGCGTTGTATTTTTTATATATTTTGCAACCCTGCTGTCAGACTATTCATAAAGCATAAGTATAAGTAAACGATTTTGCCAAAAACCTAAATTGCAATTATTTTCAACTAATATCGTAATTTTGATTTTATTGCGATTTGCTTTTACACTGATTGCAAGCATGTAAATGTTTCAATCTTGGGATTCAGTTTTGCATGACCTTGAAAGCAGGACTTTAAACTTTTCCATGAAAAAGTTCTTACGTCTGGTATCATGCATGTAACTGTGTGCAAGCTGCAACTGTCTGTTCTATTCTTTGTGAAAGCAAACCAGCTTTAAAGGTATAAGAGCCATTTAAAAAGCTGGAGTGAGAATTTTAGTGTCTTAATCTTGTTAAATATAACGTGACTAAAATTCAGTGCATCTGCGATAAAAAAAATTTGCAAAAGGCTTTTGCTAAATTGCGATTATAGTGCAACTGCAATTAATTGCCTAATTCCTACATATTGTGATATAAGGATAACTTTATTGTAAATAAGTGTTTAGACCTCATTAAATACTAGGTATTTACTATACTATTAGTAATACTAACTGCATGTGTGCAATGTATTCGTACTTGGTATGGCATTAATACATCATTTGATGCTGCTGTGTAAAGTAGCAGGAAATACCTTAAGGGGTCATTAAGATTTTTCAATAATGAGGTTAGGATGCTGTATTACCATATAATTAACAATTTGTTTTTCTGTCAATTTTCTTTCTAATAAAACCAAATGTTTGGAATGTGTAATGTATTAATGAGTTTATTTATTCTTTTTTGAATTATCTACATCAGTTACTTCCTATTTTCAGGTCACCGTTGGCAACAAACCCAAAGCTGAAAAGCATGAACACTGTAGAATTAAGTCTTTCTTTGCTTTATTTAAGGTAGATCATCATAACTATGCTCGCCAATCTAATAACATGTTTTTCCTTTAATAGTGTCTCTCTTATTAGCATGCAGTGTAAAGAAAAAAATGAAATAAAACATTAATCCATGCTCCCATTTATTGCATTTTTTATTTAACTGAACTTGATCGCATTCTGCAAGCATCCATTTGGAATCTCTTTGCAGGTGTCTTCCTGGGTTTAGCCGTCAAGTACTTATGGCTGGATGGAGAGGAGCATTTGGAGAACATGGCCGACGTGTGCTCTTGCTATGGTCTGAACAGCACTCCCCGTGTCATAATGGTCAACACCTCATCCCAAGGGCACTGCTACGCACGTATCAGAAAGATGGGCCAGAGATGCTCGCAGCTCTCAAGTACTCACACGGTAACTATGGCAATTTATTTTGACCTTCAGCGCAGATGCAAGGCAAAGCAAAGCTTTTACACCAGCTTTTGTTTGTTGTGGGATTAGTACAACTAGAAGTAGTGTGTCCTATAAACTCAATGGCTTTGAAAAGACTTTAATTAGCAAATGCAGCTAGAATGTTTGAAGCATTCTGGATGAACCCTGAGTATTTTCATCAACAGGATTCTCTAATAGCTCCACGTTATTAGTCTTCCGGGTCATTTTCATGGTCTGTTTGTTAGAATAGGCACGGCAGCACATCTGAAGAAAGGAAGAAAGAGCTATTCAACCCATATAAAGAATTAGAAGGTGACAAACATAGAAGATTGCATTTTTCACATGTTTAATAAGGACACTCAAGCGAAGCCGCTTATTTTACACAAATCCAGTTCCTTTAAAAGGTTTTTAGATTGAGACATGCAGGAACGAAAACATCAGGCTCTTTAGATGCATCAATTAGCCTCCTTGAAAATCCTACTAAGGATGATTTGTTGTCTTTATTCCTATAATGAGATAGTTTTGCAAGGGGATGTTTGTGGCAGATTGCACTGCACTGCAGAAAAATAGAGAGGAAGTTGTCTCAGCAGACACTGCAGGCTTTTTCCTCTTGGATAGCTACCTTGCACTTCAACCTGTGGCACAGAGCGCAGTAATGAATGTGAATTGCTGCCATCTTTTTTAGACTGACAGCCTTTATTATAACGCAGACACTAAAGCTTACAGCGATGTGTACAGTTTATGGTAATTGTAGCCTTGAAGAGATTTATAGCTGATGATGATTTAGAGAGGTGGAAATGGAGGTTATTATTTCAAATTACAAAGACTACAGAGAGATGGAAGATTTTGTGTAAGAATATGCGCTGTCATTGTTTTCCTATGGGCTCCATTAAGAAGATGGCCTTTGAAAATGCTGAGTATAACGTGTTTGCTTTTACAGAAACATTTTTGTAAGCTATATCTTAAGCCTGTGTTTTTGCTCAAAGCTTATGCTGAAGCCAAAACTTGGAGGCCCACACTGTATAACCTAATCCTTGCAAAATGTGTTACTGTTTATGGGATTTAGAAGATTCTGGCTTACAGCTAATGAAATGCCTTAAATTTAGTTTAAGGAATGTATTTTTGTTGCAGAAATGTTATGTTACGGCCTGCTCAACCATGGGGAGAGCTGCTAGTTTTACAGATGTCTACCAAACTGTAACTGACAGCCTACATGATGAGGGAAAGCTGCACAAGTTCCTTGCCAGATGAGCTAGAAATTCACCGAAAACTATTTCAAAGGATATTCACGGAAAGCTGAATGGATGGGGGGGGGGAAATTGTGGTAGAAAAATTGATGAAAGCAGCAAGGATAAATGCAGCATAAGAAAATTGTGAAGCCATGTACATCTTAGAGTGTGGGGGAGATTCAAAGGCTTGAACTGTGGTTGGACTAGTGCTTCAGCAGCACCCATCCACACACGCACACATGCACGCATCCAGATACCTTGTTTTCAGCCACTCCCGAACCACAGAAAACATCAGAAGCATTCTACTTCTCTGGAGTGGGTTTCACTCACATCTCCTTTTAAAACCTTGTGATTAACGTTCATACGTCTTCTGCCTTTAGTTATACCTTCCAGCTATTTTGGTGAGGGGAGATCGTGACACTGCCTGCCAAGAAGGAAAAATTGTTTTGAGGTGGTGTTTAATGTGCAGCTGCAAAATTTCAGTCTAGCGAATTTGCTCTTAGAGTTTAATCGCCGGCTCAGAAATACTTACCTTTCAGTCTGCTGTTTGTGTTGAAATATGGAATACTCAGTCTTTTCTTAGGGAGAAAAACACAAACATTTTATTAGATCAGCAAAAATATCAAATTTTTAAAAAAGGATCTAAAAAGAATGCATTTCTTTAAAAAAAGATTAATAACTGTACATGTCGGAAAAACAACAACCTTTTAAAAATCAAGGACATTCTTGATGCTGTTTTATGAATGCCTTTATTAATCTGTCACTGTTCTCAATATGCCACACAATGGTGCAGTGGGTGGCACTGCTGCCCTGCAGCAAGAAGGTTCTTGGTTCGTTTCCCAGCCTGGGGTCTTTCTGTATGGAGTTTGCATGTTCTCCCTGAGCATGCGTGGGTTCTCTCCGGGTACTCCAGCTTCCTCCCACAGTCCAAAAACATGACTGTTAGGTTAATTGGTTTCTCTAAATTCTCCTTAGGTGTGAGTGTGTGCGTAAATGGTTATTTGTCCTCTTTGTCTCTGTGATGCCCTGCCATAGACTGGCTACCTGTCCAGGGTGTACCCCACCTTTTGCCCATTGACAGCTTGAGATATGCACCAGCACTCGTTGCGACCCCAGCTGGGATAAATTGGGATGTATAGATTCTTCCAATATTACAGTCTGCCACAACAGCTTTATCTCTGTGAAACTGAACCAGATAGTCCATGATCGTACCAGACCAGCAAAATGACCCTTTAACCTCAAACTTCTTTTTTGCGAATTGTACAACTGCAATTTTCTATGGTCAAGAAATCCACCATGATCAGAGAAGATCCTTTTCATCCCCTCCATCACTCATTCTCTCTCTCTCTCTCTCTCTCTCTCTCTCTCTCTCTCTCTCTCTCTCTCTATATATATATATATATATATATATATATATATATATATATATATATATATATATATATATATATATATATATATATATATATTTAAATATAGGTTAAATGGAAACCACTTAGATGTGCATATTTTTCTTACCTCACTCATTCACTCCAGACCTGCATGTGGAGTGCATTTGGACATTCGTTGATTAATCTAAGAGGGATATTTTAAACCCAGAAGGGGCTTGTTGCGGACCTTACAAATCATCCAGACCAAGTGAAACTCTTCTCTAATGGCTTCGACTCCTTTGCCCGTTATGAATGCCGAGGTCTCATTAGCAAACCAGCAGAGGCTACCACAGAGGCCATTACATCGGTCAGACCGTGTGTAGCCTTCGAGCCATTAGGCTTGATACATATGGGGGAGCTAGCAGAGAGAGATAAGGATTTCATTGCATTACTGAGTCCATTATGTGCCACTAGGGAGAAAAGCATTAAAGTTTGTGGTCTGATTAAATTTAGCACTGCTCAGCTGAAGAGGCAATTAGTGTATACAGCGCACCTCCATCCACAACTTTGTGGTGCAGGTGGCCCTTAGAATAAAACTGCCAGGATATGCATAATTTGCTCGTTGCAGTAGCCCTTGTTGTTTTCATTTTTTTTTCTTTCGTCATGCTCATTTGTTTTTGTTTGTTTTTTAAAAATGCATAGATGCTGTGCTTTGTTGTTGATTGCAGCTGCATTAAAAAAGTCATTTATACAGTGGTGGGTTATTGTCGCAGAGCAATCTGTAGATTTAGCTACCTCCTCAAATGCCGAATTACTCATAGTGAAGACTGGGTTCTGTAGTGGAGTCTCCAACATTTGGATTTATTCTGTAATTCAGATAAACATGCAAGTAATTCACCTCTGGTAAATATTCATTAGAGTGCCTGCATGTCCTAGAAATAGAACATTAGCAGAGGCTTTCATTTATCCATATTTTTTTCATGGTCTTCAGGCTGCTATTGGTGTTTTTCTAAAGGCAGCTTTCGGTTGTTTTTTTTAACAGATCTCATTATTTGGACAGAAAGTTTGACAGTGCACAAATGCATTCTTTGATCATTTATCTTTTTATAGATAAAACCGTAAGGTTGCCACTGTTTTTCCTTTTTTTATACAAGGCTAACCACAACACAAATTAAAGGCATTCAGGGGTGAAATTGCACATGGAATGCTGCCTTACAGATTGGCTTGTATTGCATCTCATTGGCGGGGATGAGAAACATTCAAAGAAAGGGGATATAAATACAGAAATGCCTCACACTGTTTGTGCTGTTTGTGTTGCAGGTAATTTGCAGCATGGATTTTGTTGTTATTTATGGCGCAGCTCAGCCATAATGGTGGTACTTCCTCATACCTCTATGTTCTAGAAGCTTCATGGATACGGACAGCTATAATTTTCATTTCACATTGTGCTTTTAATTAACCCCAGTATTCATTGACAGCATGCTGAATCAGTACAATGTTATAAAATCACTAAGTGCAGGAGAGCTCTGAGGCAGCTTACACCATCAATTCCAGGCTTTGGCAACTAGTCGTTTCATTCTAGCACTCTACTCTAAGTATCTTTCGTATGTAGTCTTTTTTTTTTTACTCTTAATCAATTTCACATATGTTTTTATTTATTAGAATAGAGTAAACCCTATAACAACCTTTCTTAAATTCTTCAGCACATTGAATAATACAGACAGCCCAGTTTTACTAAAGCCTTACTGTTAGTGTAAAAGAATGATTTGCCATTATTACGAAGAATCAATCTGAAGCCTGAGCACTCAGCTTTCACTTTTTTTTAAATCCCTACCATCTGAAAAAGCACACGGTCTCTGTATATTTTTTTAGGATTCAGGATTTATTTAAAATCAATGTAAAAATAGAATCAAATCAAGAATGAATTGAATGATTAAACAGCCAACTTATATTTACCTACTGTCTAAAGCTAAAGAAAATCTAATAATCATCAGTTTAGCACATTTGGCACATCTGTATTATTATACTCCATTAACACATCCATTTTATTGTGATGGATTTGTATAATATGTTATATTACATGATTTAGAGACTTAATTGACTTCATAATGACTATGCAATGTGATGTGCCTATTTTTTTATTATAAGTTTAAGTAATCTACTTATGCTGTGAAACAGCAAGTGTTTGTCAAAGTTTATCTTTATTTTAAAAGTCTTAAGTCAATATGTCCTGTAGAGCACATATTGTTTACATTGCAACTGGTCTAACTAGGGAGTACCAATATGGTGGCCGGTGGTTTAACTTTAATCCTGTACTGCCAACAGGCAATTAGCAATCCAGTGAATAAATAGAGATCAGTGGCTCAAACTCCTTGTTTCTCAGCCCAGAAATCTAACTGTTCTAGAGAAGATCTGTGTGGAGGAGTGGGACAAAATCCCTCCTGCAGTGTGTGCAAACCTGGTGGAAAAACTACAGGAAATGTCTGACCTCTGTAATCGCAAAGAAGTAGTGCTTTCCATATAGAAATGGCGACAACGCTGAAATGTTCTCATTTTAAAACACAAAGGTTTTTTTTTAAAAGCAAATAAACCAGAAATTCTTATTGCAAAGTGCAACATTGGCTTTTGAAAACAACAAAAATTTACCACTTCTGTGTCCAAGCTAAATTATATATGTGTAGATCTGTGGGCAGAATGCATCTGCAGCACCATCCAGTCATTAGCGTGACTGATGGGAGAGTCTCTGCACAAACATGTTTGGTCAGCCAAAGAGTCGTTTCCAGGATTTATGGCAGAGTTGTTACTAATTGGAAAGGTTTTGTAAACTTAATAGTTCCAATTCTGGATTAGAAAAAACTGTTGGTCACTTATATGAATTGAAAAACAACTTAAAACTAATTTGTTGGTTAAGCTACGAATACATTTAAAACAATAAAGCAATCTTATGGAAACTTTGAATAAATTTTACACAGTATACGCAGAATGTCAAATGTGGACAAGTAGAAAAATCTTATTAGGGTAGCAGTATTAGCAGAAACACCCATACATTCCTCTCCAAAACCCATGTTTTCCAGGGGCCAGAAATAGTCTGTCCAGTGTGTGTTCTTGGCTGTCCCCCTGGGTCTCCCTCTGGTACCTAAAACATCTCCTGACTGAGCTGACTCTTCTCACTGTGAAGGACCAGCAGCTCTACTAAATGCCCTCAGCAGAGGACCAAACTCCTTCTCTAAAAGAATTCCTGGAAATCCTATGGAAAAGCGCACTTCACCTTCTTGGATTTCTTTTCTTTCTGTCATGTCCCAAATTTTTTAGCTCTAGTAGCTTCATCCTAAAATAAATTTATCTAAAATTAACCTGTCAACCCACGCATGCATTCAGTTTATTGAAAAACAAAAAAGTAAAGCCTTCACACTCTTCATCCACTCAATAATTAGTGTATGAATTTATGGTTAACTATAAATAATTTCAAAATGTTGGTTTCTAAGTCAACAAAAATATGATGAAAAAACACTTTTGTGAAAACACTTCAGTCATATGGGCAGATAAATCAAATAAAGCTTGAAGACTCACAAAATTGTACAATTCTTAAATACTGGCGGGAAAACGGAGAGGATGGAAGTTTCTCTATATGTTGTAGTTAACATCTAAAGTGTGAATGTTTGGTTAGAAAGGCATCCAGGAGAGAAACATGCCAGCGGAGCAACAGCCCAAAATGTACCGATAAAAGCCTTTAGGGGAAAAAAATAGGACAAATCTTAAATGGCGTCACGAGTCCAGATGCCAATTCAATGCATAATTGGTATATATATATATTTAAATATATATATCTGTGTACTGCCATGTCACTCTTTATGCTTCTGTTAGCAGCAGATATCCCTGTAATATATACCTATGCTATATACATATATGTCTAAATATATATAAAACATCTAACTGAATCAATTGTCCAGTAAATAAAGTTACTCTTTTTTCAGGCTATGCTTGATCCAGAGGTCCTTTTCAATCTTTTCCTGCCACCAATCATCTTCTTTGGGGCTTACACCCTGAATCAGGTGTGACAACTCTAGAAAACTTTTTTTTTTTAAACTTTGAAAACATGCTGCTTTTCTAACAACAGCTGCTTTTTGTTCATGTTCTAGAGACGATTCATTGATAATCTGGGCTCTGTTTTAACCTATGCCTTTCTGGGAACGGTGATCAGCTCCTTTTGCATAGGGTAAGTTTTTTCTTTCTTTTTTTCATTCAGACTAATACACACCACAAAACAAGAACTCTAAAATCTGTATCTCAGTTCTAAAACTGATTCAAAAAGTACCTTAGATTCTGTCTGTCTTTATAAGTGTGAAAATATGTGGTTTCTGCAGGAATTCAGTTGTCACTGCATTGATTAGGAACCTGTGGTCAGGTAGCTGCTTTTTAAAGCAACTGGTTTGTAGGTTAGCTAGTTTTTAAAATCTATTTAAGACAATCACACACCTTAGGGCGTGTTCCCTGTGTAATACATTAAGATTAGCAGTTGGTCCCTGACCGGATTGTTTAACTGCTGGTCCAAGACCAGATTAGCTTTAAAATAATAAAAGGAAAGATTAATGCTTCAAAAAATTATATCTTTTGCCGTTGGTTTGTCTGTAACCGTGAAGATGACATTGCAGATTATTTTATATTCCCCCCCTTCAAAGTAAAAGAAAGACAAAAAGTGGTTTATAATACAAATAAGAATAGAAAACAGACATAAAATAATAGGTTCAATCAGTACATGGTTAACATCCGACAGCACAAAGTGTTGTAAAAGGCAGTTTAGATAAAATAGTCTTCAGCTGCTTTTTAAAGAATTAACGGATTCAGTGTAGCACAAAGATAGAGAAAATGCCTTTATTGCCTTCCAGTGAGGTAATGTAGAATGTGACAGGAGCAAAAACACGTTGACAGATGACACCCGACTTACCCTGTGCAATAAATATGAATAACAAGCTAAAGGTAAGCTGCAAAACAGAAGAGAAGGAACTTAGAGGAAAAGAGAACCAAAAAACTGTTCAATAGTTAATAGATGATAAGGCATTTTTAGGTGAAAATGCAATGCAAAGTTTAATAGAAGGGCAGCAGCCTATTGACAGAATGATGTAGAAAAAAAACTGCGCAATATACATAATTGTACAAATAATAAACTCCCAGAGAATTGAGCAATCCTTTCAACAATCTTGTGGATACAGCTATATGAGATATATCTCTCTTTATTTAATCTATTTTAAATGTGTTTGTGGAACCATTAATAGACTTTAATTGGAAGATTGTCAAGCGGCCAGAATAGGTGCAGGGTTATGGATGTTTAGAGATAAAAGCTGTAGTTTGACCGCAGAAGGCTTTAATAGAAATGACTAAATTAAAGTCAACTTCCATTGGTTAAAATACTTGCTTTATGCAGCTTTATGAACTGACTAGAGGTGGTCAATATCATTTTTTATTAGAAGACATAAAAAAAAGTGTGCTACAATAATCAAGACAAAATTAAATTAAAAAGCATGATGATTTATTTCTAAATTTAGCTTTTGACATTAGAGTTGGACGCTTAGAAATATTTTTAGCTTTCAAAAAAAAATTAGCTCTTAAATGAATTCACAACAATGGCCATGGCCTTAAATTTAGCTATTCGGTTCTTAAAGTAGGATTCTGCTGAATTCCCCTGTTGCTTAAGTTGTGGTCACAGAGCAACTGTTTGATTCTAATAAAATAGTTTATCAAGGAGGACACCTTTAACTATTCAGTTTGCTATTCTATAAGAATAATTTCTTCAGGTTATTTTTTATATGAGTCAGCTGATATTCCTGGACCACCTTAAGAATAACAATTTGTTAAAATAGTTTCCACTACAAAAAAACAAAAAAAAACTTTAGTTAATCTGGGAGATTTTAGCATTTTTCTTGTCATTTAGTGTTAATTAAATTGTAATTAACAAATTTACGGCATTTAAAATACAAAATAGTTTTGTCGGGATAAAAAAAAAAAATGAAAGTAGGAAGGGACCAAACTGTACTAAATTTTATTTAATAATTGAATTTACTTGACATTGCAAAAAAGTTACATTAATTGTGTTATATTATTATGTGTAAATCATTTAGTGGTGGAAAGTAATAATAATAATAATAAAATATCCTTTTGATTTTTGCAGTACGGCACCTTTACAGAAACTTATATCAGTAGGCGCCACACTTTTTTACACAATTTCCCAAGCAAATATTTTGTGGCAACTAAATAAGAGCAATGTTATGGCAAATTTACTCTCTCAGTTGTTTTTTTTTTTTTTTTTTTTTTTTTTTTTTTTTTTTTGTTTAAGATGCACTATACTTACATTAATCCCACCTATGCAGCTCATTCAATTATAAATTAAAACATATAAATAAACTCGTAAGAGTGCTGAGCAGAGCTAATGATTTTAAAAGGTCTCGGAAGGATGTGACTTTGCTTTTGGAGCCGGTTTTACAGTCAGCTAATGCTCTTGTGCTAAGAGCTGCAATTATGGTTTAGCACCACTAGATGGCAGTCCTGGTCTTGGTTAGGCTATTTAGATCTCTGTTAGCAAGGTGTTTACTATGACAGAACATGTGATATTAATTAACTTATTTTTTTCTGCTTACATTTTGGATTAAATTTGATAAGAAAAGAATATTGAACCTTTTGTAAAAGCATTTGATCCTAAATATTAAATATTAATATTAAATCCGCTGGTACTTTTAGTGTTGATTCTACCTATTCTCAGAAAAGTTATCTTTTCATGATTCTAACAGTTTTTTTTTTTCTAGCTGTTTAAGAAATGAATTGAACACCAAGCACCAAGCATAGTAAAACTGAGTCCTGTAAAAATTCTAATGTGATTAATATAGCCTCAGGGAAAATTTGAATTTGTATTTGGAAGTCACTGTAATGATAAAAAATAATATTAATGTTTTAACTATTTAGGTAATCACATTTAAAGTTGCCTGTTTTGATTCTTTTGTTTCATTTTATCACTCAAGTTTTATCGCTTCAATTCGATCATTGATTACATCCACAGCGCAAGTTTCCCTTCTATTTCCTTCTGTCCACACCTGCTCCCAATCAGTTGATTACTCCATTCTTTGTTCTTTCTGGCATGTATACTCCTCCTCTGCAGTTACTGTTTGCTCGATTGTCTTCATTCATTCATTCATTCATTCTGACGCCCAAATTGGGTACCACTGTGCTCGACCATAGTAACTGTTGCGCACGTTGCAGCCATTTTTATCTCAGCTTTATATTGCAGGACCATCATTCACCACAGCTTATTTAATGTGATTTTCTGTAGTTATCGTAATTGTCCGAATGAGTATGCATTGTACATTATTACTGTGGTTAACAACAAATACTTAATGCAGATTTCAGCACACATAAATGCTCTCATTGAGTGAACAATTAAGGTTACAGTATAGGACTAAAAATAAAATATATATATATGAATATTTTTTTTCTGATCCAGTCCTGTGTCGAATATAGACCCATCCAGTCCTTGATTGAGGACAACAGGGCGAGCTTAATGGCTTTGCCCATTAAACTGGGTTAGTTTTCCAAAAAACAGCCCTGAAAGTGGATCAAATCTTTTACCAGGGATTAGTTTGGAAATCATAATGGATAACTTGAATTACCAAATTATTCACATTTGGGTTAAAAAATATATTTTTTTTATGTAGAGTTTATTTTATATTACATTTGCTCTGATAAAATAGTAATTTAATGTAATGTCAAATATGACGTATTAATAATTAATTAAATTAGAATGAAAATCATACTCATCATATAGCACTGTTGTTATGTTATTTCCTTTTCAAACTGAGATACCATTAGGGGGTTAGCAACTTAACTCAAGCCCACTCTGCTTTGGATGGTCGCTCTGCTGCAGAGTTGATGCAACCAACATGATGTGCACCCATGAATCAGCTGTATGATGTTGCAGCTCCATCTTTTGAGCTTCCTTTAACCTTAAGTTGAGACTATATAATGCAGACCGCAGTTCAACCTTATTGCTTGTTTGCATGTGATTTATCATGTAGACAAACCTAGCAGGCGGATTTGCTCGATGCGCTTGCCTGCCTCACCGTGTCAGTGCCTGTGGGCCTGACTCTATCCTTCTCTGTTTGGAAGGATGCACATGCACATGTACTTTAAGCATGTGCATGCACACGAACCACCCTCTAGAGGAAGCACGATCACCCTAACCTCAAATCTCCCCTTAAGATACATGAATAAGGCAGCTTATCATGTTCAACCTGAGGACAGTGCTTTAAATCCTGGCCATAGGGACATGGTTGTGTGCCATCTCCATGGTAATGAAGTGGCTCAGTGCTCCCTAGAGAGGTCAGTAGCATATTGATTATTACAGGATGTGTCTTTGCTAACTAGATCAGCACTTAACACACCTTGGTTAGGATTCAGGAGCTGTCCTGCTGTTATGAATACTGAATAGAAAAGTTTTGTCTTTGCCTTCAAAGTGCACCGCTTTTATAGACGAGATAAAGCTGGGGACAGTTGGAGTTTGAGATTTATTCTACAGCCTGGCTGCAGAGATGATAAGAAAATGCTTCCTCTGTATTATTCTGTCATGTTGCCCTTCACAAAGTCTTTGCAAACGCACATTTCTCATATAGAGATTTCAGTCTGCATTCAGTTATGATTTAATTCATATTCACCTGGAAATTATGTCTGCAGAATAAAAAAAAAACTGCCCTGTTCATATTAGGCATTACTATCTGGAAAGGTATCAGCTCACCTGCTGCTTGTGTCGGGCCCCATTAGCCTGACCACTTGAGGGGGAGGGGGGAGCCCTGCTGCGTCTAGCAGGATGACTGATAGGTTTGCACCTGCCTGCCCTTCCAGAAAGATGACCACAGTGTGTTTTTCTGCCGTCTGTTTGATCCCAATACCAGGGCCTGCGTCTACGGCTTCACCAGACTCATGGTGCTTCTGGGACGAGCAGCAGATGGAGAGTTCTCCCTCACTGACTGCCTCCTGTTTGGTGCAATCATGTCAGCCACTGACCCCGGTAGGTATCCTCCTCCAAAAACCTTCACAAAAAAGTTTCTCTTTTCTACGTAACACCATGATATGGCTTTATAAAACAGCAACAACAAAAAAACATTATTAATTTAATAAATAATTTAGTAAATAATTAACAGTAAATAATTAACAGTAAATCTGTAGCAGGAAGTGCCAGCAGATTTAAATGTTGTATTTCAGGCTGAAACAATCGGATTTATTGTGGTTAACTTACTGAAATAATTGTCAACTGATTTAGTAATTAAATAACGGATAACTGGACCTTACAGAGTCTAACACATGCCACTAGCTGAAACAGAAACCTACTCAGAGCAGTAATTATGCTAAAAGTGAAAAAAATATATAAAGCTTTTTTTTATGTGAGTATGCTCTATCAAGAACTACTCAAGTGGCGTAGTTTTAGCTTCGCTTAGTGTAAATTCTGTATAAAATCTTCTTTAAGGCACCTGTTGCTATGATAATTAGATTAATAATTGAAGAAATTATCAACAGATTATTTGATTACCAAAATGATTAATGATGAATTGATTTAGTCATCTTTTCCGAATCTTTATAAAAATAAACATTTAGTCAGAAAAAATGTTTTAATTTCAGAATTTCTGTTTTGTTTTTATTAAAATACAAACCTCTGGACCTGAATTTTATTTTTAATCCAGATTGCTAAATATAGCTTCAGTTTACTAAATAAGAAGTGGATGTTTGGGTGTTTTTTTGTTTTGTTTTGTTTTTGTTTTTTTAATAACTATTTTGAATTTCAAACATTTTTATCTTTCAGATAATTTTAAAAGCTTTTCTTGGAGCCTAAAAAAACAAACACTGAGTAAATAAAATAGATACATCTATTAGTGATAAACAGACTTTAAGACTACAAACAAGAGTAGGAAAATGAAGCTTTTGTCTGGTTTGGCAAAAGAGGCAAAATTGGAGTGATCAGTGGTGGAAAATGAGACAAGAGTAAATGTTTTGCTAAGAAGCTGAGAATCTCTGTTTTAAATATATTCAGTATTTATTACTGCCTTACCTGAGAAGACATTACCCTGCTAGATAAAAGGCCTGTGCGTTGCAGCAACAGACTTTACTGGTGTCACTTTAACTTGCTGACCGAAGAAGTAAACGTCTGCAAAACCTCTGTATCAGTGTGTCCTGGTAAGAGGTAAGAGTTTTCTGCCACACTTTTGTCTTTGTAAAAACTGGAAAGTGTTGCTACATTCACTGCTTTGTGAATTTTTCTCTCAGGGTTCATCATGAAATTACTGTACTTTGACAACAAACGGTTATTTATACCAATATGTGATCTCAATGAGCATCAGAGGAAAGATTTAGATTGTGGTTCAGTTGTAGCACATGAGGGCCAGTACTTTGCAATGCCACGCTGTGCACATTCGATTTGACCCCAGTGCACTCGTCAATGTGATGAGACTCAAACTAAATACCTACAAAGAATCCTTAAAAATGCAAGATCCATAGGCTTTGTATCATGCTTTCAAAATACGAAACGAACTCATGGACCTTTTTGCATAACATTTCACCTCCCTATCGGCACTCTAATAAAATCCTGCATACATTTTATATTCTTGCATTCAAGAAGGTTTTACATTTTACCATATAAGGCAATTTCTTTCTTTATTTTTTAACAGTGTCCTGTCTGGCAATGTGGCAATAAGAATAATTGTCTTGATGCCAAAAAGTGCCCGACAGATTTTACTTTCACAAGTGGAGCAGTATGGCAATTGCCATAGTGTTCCACTTGTTTCATGCATATAAATTGCTTTATTATAATAATGCAGGGAGTTCTACAGATCATATGGACACTGTAAGTAGAACAGAAGAGGAAAAACAGAAAAAAAGGAGAAAAGATGAAAGAAAGAGGATAAAACTTTTTCAGTCTGCTTCATCACCTGCAAAGAGATGTAAAATGAACAGCATAACCAACAGACATGGTACAGTACAAGACATACAACAAAGTAACACCTTGAAACTATTGCTGAAGTAGTATTATTTAGTCTGACATGTACTGAAGATAACAATGTGGCCTTTCTGCATGGAAGTGAATCTCTAAGTACCTGAAGCCCAGCACCTGTAGTTCTTTGTGAGAGTGCACTTGTGCATGTAAAGTTTATCCAAAGGAAAAATGCCCAATAGTGGTTGTGGAGAGCCGAAGAGGCGCCCCCCCCCAGAGCACTGAGTCCAGTGCCGGGAGACCCTAAGCCCCAGACACCCAAAGGGATCCCAAGAGCGAAGGCACCAAGGAGGGGCCAGCCCTGGAAATCAGACCCCCACCAAGGGAGGAGGAGAGACAGCTCTGAGGAAGTCCCCCAGCCACCGCAAGGCGGGAGCCCCCTGGAGCAGCGGGGACGAATCCACGGGCTCCGCCGGCAGCCAGCCACCCCAAAGTGAATCCTGCCCTGGGCCCCAGGGATCCAAGGCGCAAGGGGCTCCCCACCCTCCGGCAGGAGCCCCAGCAAGGCCGGGATGAGCCAGCAGCCACCCGGGCATCCACCCCCAAACCCCAAGCTCCACCAGTGCCCCGACGCCAGCCAGCGGAGGGAGAGCAGGACAGGGGGAATGGGCTCCGCACTTAGCGAAGACTTGAGATGTGCTTGGAAGAGGGAGCAGTTCAGACCCCAACCTAGGAAAGAAGAGAAAAACAAAACTCACAGTCTCAATAAAGCTAAGGCAAATTACACATAATCAGATTTTGCCCATTTTAGAAATATCTTACCTCTTAAAATTTCTATGCATTTTATAAGGGATGTAATTGGATTTTAGGATTCCTTATAGTACTGTGCACTCTAAGAGTAGATTGGTCAATCAAACAGGATCTGTGCCACATGTTTTATAGAATATACGTACATACCTATTAATCTGCAGATACTTCATGTGTAGTTTGGTTGGTGAGATTACAAGCTATATGATACTCAGACTTCTGAAGAAGCAATATCTACAACAAAGTGTGACAAAATGAACCACTTTATTTACTCGCTCCACTATCACCTGTCAATAAGATTAAAGGAGACTGAAAAGAATATTTGGGAACACTCAGCACCGTGTCCGTGCAACTCTATATGCGACCAAAGGATATACAGCCCATTTCTGCAGCCATGGACCCAAATAGAAAGGAGAGCCTGGTGGGGGTGTTTCCACAGGAGCTGGTGGAAACAACATGACCTCTGCTGCTGTTTGCAGTAAAACATGATTGCTGACCCTGAATGTATCTCGGGTAAAGATACAACTATTCACTTATATTTACCATGAAATAAAGAGATTCCACTAGAGACTGTTATATGAAAAAAAAAATAAGTTTGAACATATTGGAAGGTCCTTCAAATCACTGCATTGTTTCTCGTTTCTGTAGCCCATCCAATTCTACATGCTGACTGAAATAAAAAAAGCTTGGCATACAAAAATGGGAATATATAGCACATTTACTGGTGCCAGTAAATCTTATCTTCAATATTTTATGCGCTGATTCAAAACATGAAATTGTGCGTTGTTTAGAGTTCTAAAAAGAAAGGAACCATTGCAATCAATAATTACTGAACATGTGTTACATTTTATATAATGCAAACAAGGATACATGCATATACAGTTTTACTCACAATAAAGCACAGATATACTATTATATCTACACAGTATTAATAAGTGAATTATTAATACTAACAGAAAAAAGGTGAAGATCCAGGAAAGGTCAAGGATGATGCTCTATGTTACAGTGTCCACTCTTAAAAAGAGGTTTTCTTTGGTTTGTTTCAGTTTAGATTTGGCTTCTTGTTTCATAGTTGTTGAATCATTAAAATCATTAAATTAATATGTTGTGTATTTGTATTATAAGAATTTAGTTAAATGCCTTTAACAACATTTAAGCATTACAGACCGTGATCATTAAATACTTCACATCTTTATTACTAATATTTTCGGTGTCCATTTTTATCCGACCCCCCCCTTTAAAAGCTCAGGAACCCCTAATAGATCTCCACACATAATTCTGTGGTGCCGCTACTGTTCCAGATACATCTATTTGTAACTCCTACATCCTGGTCTTAGTTCCTTTTTTCACCTTTCGTAGGATCATTAATAAGAACACGATCCAGCACAGGAGAATAATTTTGGACTGCTGTGCTGAATCCGAACAGGCTTCATTGTTACAGACATCATTAGTTGATAGACACACGTATGGATGATGCAGGACAAATCAGGAATACTGCCATTTAGAAAAGAACAACATGACTTTAAGTTACACAACTGTAACAAATCATTGAAGCTCTGCATTTTAAAAGGTAATTCATGGAATATGGAGATGCATACGTAAGCATTTTTTTCACACAGAATACATATAAAAATGTAATTTTGTCTAATTGCATAAGGTGGAATGTGCCTATAGGTCCTGTCATTAACTACCGATAGGAAACATTCTGCATCCTCTTCCTACCTCCTTCCTCACTGCCAACGCTATTCAGATAGAACATATCATGGTGACTGCTGACACACTTCCTCTTCAGCGGAGTGGTAAGTGTCCATACCAATTTGCAGTATTCAAAAGCAGCCTAAAACATCACATCATTCTGAATACATCGTCCTCACAGAGGCATGTGGTTGCAGCATCTTGCTGCTGTAAGGCTTTTTTTGTGAGCATGGGGAAGTTAGATTTCATGGGAGATGACTTTACCAAACTATAAGTAAAAGAAAGTAAGATATGACTGCTTCAGGTTCATTCAGAATTAGTTTATATATATAAAATTTGATGTTATTAAAGGCACAGAAACATCAAGCCTATGTGTTCTAGGTTTTGATGAGCTGAACTGTTCCTATCTCACTGCTTTCCTGAGCTTGTCAAAGCTCTTACATAAAAAAATTAATTAATGTTTCCCTTTTTTTCTTATCGATTATCTTGTGTTCTACATCCAGGATAAAACCTTTTTTTTTTATTCAAAATATAAATTATATTAAAAGAGGCTCTTAGTCTTGAGAGAAGACCTGTAATCTTTA